GCCCGCGAGTGGAAGGCAGTCTGCGACACGCACTGCAGGCGGACAACGCGTCGCCTCCGCGCCGGGCCGCCCTGCTCATACCGGTCCCGTTTGCCTTAGGCACCATGCCTGCTCTCAGGCCTCTCGTGAAACCTAAGATCGTCAAGAAGAGAACCAAGAAGTTTATCCGGCATCAGTCCGATCGCTATGTCAAGATCAAGGTAAATCACTGGGGCAGCTCATGAGGATGTGAATTTGGGGACAGCTGCCTTGGGGCTGGTGATGAATTAAGGCATGAAGGGTGCAGGGCTGTGCCGTTATAGCCTGGCGAGGTGGATCTTCCTGGAGATGGGTTTTGGCTGGAGGCAGGTGCCTCCATGCTGCTCTCAGAACTGCTCAGGGCAGTAAATGTTTTCTGCATCTTTTCAGCGCAACTGGCGCAAACCGAGGGGCATCGATAACAGAGTTCGCCGGCGCTTCAAGGGTCAGATCTTGATGCCCAACATCGGTTATGGCAGCAATAAGAAGACCAAGCACATGCTGCCCACAGGCTTCAGGAAATTCCTGGTCCACAATGTCAAGGAGCTGGAGGTGCTCATGATGAGCAACAAGTAAGTCTGCGGGGCTGGGTTGTGGGGGAAAGGCAGCAGAGCTGGGGGAGGTGGACACAAGACAAGTTGTTGCTTTCAAGAGCATGGAGGTTGTCTTGGTTTCCCCAGTACCACAGCGGGGTCCTGGGGTGGCAAACTTCTTTTTTGGGCACAGAATCCCAGGTTGGAAGGGACCTCAAGGATCATTTGCACAGCTTTTCTTTGCAAAGCACAGTGTTACAGAGGTGGCAAACAGCTCTACACGTGCACCGCTGATAAAGCAGTGATCAGAGTTGTGGCTTCATGTGCCTGTTCAGGCACAGGCTCCAATCCACATGTAGCACTTGCTTTCAGAATGCAGTAATAAGAGTAATAATTAATACTTAAAAACTGCCTCTTACTGGCTTTTTGTAAGAGGAAGAGCAGAAGGTTTGCACTGTGCTGGGGCTGAGCTCCTGCCTCAGGCTGGGATGGTTGGGCTTGGTGACAGGGAGAGTTTTTTTTTGTGTTGTGACACTTCTGTGCTGTGCTGCTTCCCGGTACTGCCAGTGGGATGGCTCTGGAGCACTTTGCTTCCTCTTGGCTGCTGTGGGAGCCGAGCCTGATGCACTCTGTGTTCCTGACAGGTCGTACTGCGCAGAGATCGCTCACAATGTATCCTCCAAGAACCGGAAGATAATCGTGGAGAGGGCGGCCCAGCTCGCCATCAAGATCACCAACCCCAACGCCAGGCTGCGCAGCGAGGAGAACGAGTAGAGCAGCCTCTGCCTCCAGAGTGTATTTAATAAAGTGTAAAACAGACTGGGGTGGGTGTTGTGAACGGCAGGAGGGGAGGGCTGGGGGTGGGGGGAGGGGGGTG